TTTCATCTTTTGTGTGCTGTCACTTCAGATCTCGAACTTCTCACTCGACGCAGTCACGGGGCCCCTCCAGCGTAGGACCAGATCGACACCGAAAACAACCCAAGGTTCTGAACTTAAGGACCTTTGCCAAAAAATTATGTAAGCATTATCGTCCGGAATAAACGGTTTACCTTTGTAAACACTTGTCTTTGCTGCCTATAAAAACCGCCACCCACATACGCTAAGACCTTAGACCATCCCGATGGTAGGGAATAAAAATCTCTCCCCCAATCGGCGTTCTTACAATAGTTAGGGATACGGGAAAGAAAAATGTTAAAAAACAAGGAAAAAGGGTAAGATTTTCAGGGATTTCTTTATTTTAATTTGTTATTTGGACATAAAACAATCTAAGACATTTAGTTTTTATATATAAAATGTCTACAGTGTGGCCATAAACACCTTATGCACGTGATTGTCTTTGATTTCTCATTTAAAGACTACATAAGAATCTCGGGGTGATTGACGTCGACCCTTATGGGTCAATAAGTCATTTTGGGAATCGATTCATTAAAAATTAGGTACCAAAACTTATTAATGCAATGAGTTTTGTACANTCTAATGTCGATTGCTTTTCTCTCTTCTTCAGGATTTTTCGTAAGTAATTAAATTAATATCTCAGATGTGATCTTTGTCACTCCTTTAGCTCTTGAGTTTTCTTGATTATACTGTATTTTTCTTAAATACAGTAAGATTGAATTTCGGCCTACTGTACACCTGTTCGCGCCATACTGCCTAGCAACATTAGGCATCTTCTGCCCACTCTCTATCTTTGTTATTATACTCTCACCTTTCGAAAAGAAAAACAGACGCAAAACTTAACGAGTGCCTACCCGACAATCTCGTGAATACATAAAAGAATTGTTTTGTCAGAAAAATAAAAGGCTGGAATTACAAGGGAGAGTTTCAAAGTTCGGAGGAATAATATCCGATCGGTATATACCGGCTTAAGCGTCGATGTCGACGCCTCCCGCACTCCGAAATGTTTCGAATTGTTACCTGAAGAGAAGAGAAAATCAATCGGTATTCATTATTTTACATCGCTTCTTCTTGTGTTTATTCTGTGAGGTGTTCGTTATCCGATCATATGTTCGTTGTCTGAACATAACAATCTTTCTCGAAAGTGTTCGTTATCCGATTTTTTCGTTAACCGATCTGTTCGTTAACCGATTACCCACTGTATATGCTTTCCGCCGCCTGGGGCCACGCTACGGAGAGTTTCGGCTAGTAAGTTGACTTTATTATCGTCTGTACAGTATGTAAAATAGGTACCGTAAGTCTAATACAGCACTAATTTTATACATTTCTTGTGAAAGAAACACTTCTTATTCAACGTCCATAAAAATTATTTATATTAATGATGTCTCCAAAGGTCAAGTTATTTTTCTGCGAAAAATTTGTTATCAGAATTCGCGGCCGCCGTTTCGTGCGCTGTTCCTCGACGAAAACAAGCTTTAAGCAACGGCGTAGTCGAACGGTGCACACTCGGTAAGTAATCCTACAATTTTTTATTTATAGCATAGTTTATACAGAATATTTCCAAAAAGTTATACGTGTTTTGGAAATGTTGAGTGGAATTAGTCTAGAATTGGTTAATTTTATAGAAGAAAACCTTTCAAACAGCTTTAGTTTGTAAACTTCACATCTATCGGGCTGCGATTGGCTCATGTATTTAATGATTTCTACAACGTAAAATTCGTTTAACGTGGAACATATCTAAGCGTTATAGGGTGTCTACTGTATAGCATATGGTCTATAACTTTTTCAATAGTTGTGAGTGTACTTTTTGCTACAGGAAACTTACGCTTAGAGATCAACTAGTATATGTACGGGGAGTTCCAAAAGTTTCCATACATCCAAAGGTAAAATGTAACTTACTTTATTCACAAAACTTTAAAATATCAGCATAAAAATTTGTGTCAGTAGATTCAAGAAGGCAACCGAAACACATGGGTAATCTGCCAATTACCGGTAACTTGTAGCAGGACTTCCTATGTGAAAACATGATTCTTTTCAGGTATTAGACACACGAAGAAAACCCATCACACTGCATGGTGGACAGCCCATTGGTCAAGCACGAACCAACGACTAACTACGAGTGTTCGATAGTTTTATTTATTCGGCCACTGGTGTGATTGATTTTTGTCAATGTACGGAGAATTTTCGGACACCCTATATATATTTTTTCTTTGGTACGATTATTATTCGAAGGCGATTATTTATAAAATAAATCTGATAAGATTTTTCATTTAATTATTATTTTAACAACAACGCAACACTCAACACACACGCACATTATTTTAGCATACCGTAAGAGTGGAAACACTGTATAAAATATGCAAATGTTTCAATTTAGGATAACACCTGATTTTCCTCTAATTTTCTTTATTTTCCTTCAAGATGGAAAAATGTGCTTACATTTTTCCATCTTACAATGCGCTGTTTGTTGTAAAATTTTTTAATATATAATGAAAGATATCTCTGTATTCATGAAAGCTGTTATGTTTTATGTAAAATTTGTTAAGAGATGAAAAATACTGTTTTGTGTTAACAAGCACTTGTTTTTATACACCGAAAATTTTCTTTAGCATTTTACGTGTAAACCGAATTCTGCTTATAACTTTTATTTTATTTTTCAGTCGCGTTTTTCGATGTAAAATTTAATTATATAATTATTGTGAAAAATAATTAGACATGCAGTAAGTATATATTAATCCTCGATAACCAAAGCCTCCTTATACGAATTTCAATAAAGATTGTTTCGTAATTAGTTATTTCGGCACCCGACAATTTCCAGTGTATTCCGCAATTGGAAAATAGTCAATAATCCTGTTTGCTATTCTTTATTCTTAATAATATACAACATCTAGGAATTCTAACATTTCAGACGATAACTCTAAAACTCTAACTCTAGAGCGTTCAAAGTTAGTATCTTTCGAAGTACGTGGTTCTACTGTATAAACAATTGTTTATGCCAATTGTTTGAGAAAAAAGTAAAACATTTCCTTACTTCTCATGAACTTTCTCGTTACTATTATTAAACTACAATTTAGAAAATCTAAATAATAATAACTTTCTAATATATTATATATAAGCCTATATATTGCATATGGATACACATTGTAAAGTGAAACCAAGTATATAACATAATATAATAAAAATGCTTAGTAAGACAAATAACGAACACTCCATTATTTTATTACAGTATTTTTATAAGCCGAGTAATTACCTATTCGTTAAATGACACTACAGATATTCTAATCATCAATATTTATGGGAAAAGTGGGGCAAACGGGCATGCTAAATATTAGCAGAAAAATTAAATTTAGAGCATCTCTATATACAGCATATAAAACTAAATACTTCCTCATCTGAGATGAGAAAATATTTACTTTCATATGCCAAAATGTCTTTATGCCCCACAGACGGGGCCTAAGGACAAAGGAATCGAAATAAACTAATACTGTCATTGGACCATTTAGAATCATAGCAGAGAAAAAACAGAAAAAGTGCAAATCGTTTTTAAATTTAACACATAAAACATGGAATCAAAATTTACTCTAAAAGTTCAAATGAATTTTATTTCTCTCTGTAGTTTTATGAATTTCACGCAAATCATACTCAATTTCTGAATTACTATATCCTCTTTCTTCGTTTGCTGATACAGTACATTGTACGGTCTACTCTTCTGATATATTTTTATAAGAAAATTCTTTTGCCATTAGATTTTTGGTAGAAGTATGTTAACTACTTGTATACCGAAGCTCGTTCATAACCTCATGACGAGTAACAGTTCTTACGTCTCTTGCAACCTTCTCCTGATTTTTGCAATTTTAAGAGGATGTAGATGTGAAACACAGGTTTTCTTCTGTTAATAGTGTGAATTGACGTCTATATTGATTGGCAGTCATCTCGTTACGTACGAGTTGGACGTGCTAGTTCTAATGTAGATACACCCTCCTTAATATTAACTTAAGTTTCATTAATATATATTGGAAATTTGAACGCGTAAAGAATGTTCGCGCTGCATCCCATTAACAGCATTATAAAGTCAGGGACTTATTGCCCTTTGAATATCTATCCATCTGTTCCTGAACATATCATTGTTGAAAAGTTTACATTTTAACCAGAAGATAGCTTATGGTGTTCTGTAACGTGCCTGTAGTTTGTCACAAAACATAAAGAATATATTGTGCAGTGTTCAAAAATTTAGTCTTATAAACGTCAAGCGAAATTTTTATGGTGTCAATTCCAGTTATTATAAGTTGTGACGCTACTACAATTTATTAGCTGACCTGTAGAATTCTTCATATGTATGATTACCCACGCTTCAATCGAATACATTAACATAAAAAAAATACACTATGACTCTGCTACTAAACCGGATTTTACATTTCTATGCGCATTATTCGAAAGTTTCGAAAAACGTTATAATAGATCCATTGGCCCCAATTTTCACATATTAGTTGAAATTTATAACAATACATGCTAATACTTTCACTTCTAACTCTTAAAACTAAAAATAATATCGTATTATGTTTCATCAGAATTAGTCTCACTTTTATTCTTAAATGGAAAAGCCACTATACTAAGAAACACGGGAATAAAAACACGACATGGACCAACGTTTCTAAAGATATAATAGTAACGATTTTTACGAACGTTGTGTATATGTACTGTACATATTGATATATAGAAATACTAGTATTACGAAAATTGCAGACATCGAACCTTGAAATATAGGAAATCCAACGTGATAAAGTGATTCCTTTAGCTTATCTTTGGCTCCAGAATGCGAAGAAGTCAAAAACGCATAACACATGTGAGCCGGATAATTAACACAAAATCCGTTACAAAGTATCATAACCGTCATGGAAAAGACGTCAAGATTGACACCCCAGATTGACATAAATCCAACTGTCTCCACAATTATTGAAACAAGTAATTTGTTTGGTAATAACAAATTATTCTGCCAAAGGAAAAAAACAAGAATGGACAATAATTGGTAAATCAGATTCTTTTGCTATTTTCTTCAGATCGGTTAATACGGTACTATCAATATCTTTATCAAACATATTTTTCGTTAAAACAAAAAAACGACTTCGGATAATATCTGTGTAATTGTTATTAAAATTTATATCAGTCGAAAATTGTTTGGCTGCTTTAAGTCTCAAAAACACGTGGAGAAGTCCGGCAATAAAATCTTGTTTTTGTGTCATATCATAAACACTCATGGAAAATGTCGATACCGGATGATTCGGAAATTCTTTGTAATATTTCAACCAGGAAACGTCGAGTTCTGAACCGGCGACGTTTGGGTGAGATTGGAATTTCATCATTAAGTTTTCTATCGATTTCTGAACGTCTACTTGGGAATAATCTAACGTTGTGTTGATGACAATTTGAACAGGATGCGCAAATTCCATAAAATATTGGTAATATATTTGATATGCTTTTGCTACTTTCGAATGTTTTGGATAAAATGTAGAGAAGTTGATGCCTTCTTGTAACAATGTTACTCCCCAAATACCTATTGAAAGATTAATTATGTACAATAAAATAACGACCAGTTTGACAAAAGGACGAGAAAGAATTTCGGCGACATAATCTCTGAAGAACTTCATAAAAACGAATTCGTATTTCTCTTCTAAATCGTGCTCGTTGGAGCTTTCTGTAAATAAAATATTGTGAAAATTAAACATTCTATCAATAGCAAAAAGAAAAAAAAACATACATTTATTAAATGCATAATTTGAATAAAGATTTCCTTTAGTTAAAAACTTTTAAAATGCGACGTAATTGATAAGTATATTTTAATGATACATCGAAAAGAAAATATCACTAAATTTCATTTCTAGTTAATTGTTTTGCTATAAATAATAGTCGTAATGGAAAACGTTACTTTATTTTCATTTTGTAGGTTATACCTGATTATATAATGCTAGATCAACTTATTTTAAAGCTGATATTGTACAATAACGATTTAGGTTATATTACACAAACTATAATTAAGAAATCCAAAAATTTTTATAAGTTATATGGTAAAGAACATTAAAATGTCTCACTTTTTGTAACCCTAAAGGTAAATGCATTAAGACGATGTTCTTCTCTGTATCCACTTAGTGCCAAGCACGATCCAAAAAACGTAATCTGATACAAATAAGTAAAGCAAACGCAACTCGTTGCGTAATAAGAGAAGATCCTCACACCAGGAAATTTTATAAGTTATATGGTAAAGAACATTAAAATGTCTCACTTTTTGTAACCCTAAAGGTAAATGCATTAAGACGATGTTCTTCTCTGTATCCACTTAGTGCCAAGCACGATCCAAAAAACGTAATCTGATACAAATAAGTAAAGCACACGCAAGTCGTTGCGTAATAAGAGAATATCCTCACATCAGGAAACGCTGCAGTCATCGCTATGCAAAAAGATAAAATATTTGTCAACGTTGTTATGGTAATAGAAACAGCAGATTTGGAATAAGTTTTCCCCATTCGTGCTTTCACGCTGTCTTCAACATCTGTAACTCTCCAATTTGCTACTATCACGAAGGCGTCGTCAATCTCTGTAGCTGAAAATGATATAAAAGTACTATTTTAATGTTTCATAAAATGTATGAAATATTGAAATAAGAAACTTTTGTTCAAAAATCTCTACAACACTGTCCAAACTAGGGCAGACCGGGACAAGATCGGCATGTTAAGATTTACTTAAATTTTGTGTAATAAATACTGCTGTAAACTGGAAAAAAAGCTTTGCATATCGTCTATTGGAATGTTTTGTTACTATAGAACTGGTTAAAATCAGTTTGGAAATAAAAATAATTAAAATAATTACAACTTTACAAGAAGAGAGAAATTGACGAAGTTGCCCCGGGTATAGGGGCAAGATCGGCAACTTCTCTCTTTTTGTAAAGTTGTAATTATTTTAATTATTTTTATTAAAGTTGCCCCTGGTATAGGGGCAACAGTAATGGG